CTGAGTTTCAAAACTGAAGCAGCAATGGGGGTGCTATGTATTGTATATTGCACATAGAGAGCTGGTCATTTCATGGACTAAGACTACACAGCCAGGGAGGCAATGGATTGCCACCAGATGGAGAAAGAAGACCAGGCGGGCAATGCATTAATCGTTTTTGGCAACTCTCCTGCAAAAAGATGTACCGTTTTGGATATTGTTTGTGGGGAATGGCCACTCGGAGGAAGATAGCAACAGCCAAATTTATTAATCATGGTTGGCTCTACTGCAGGGGAGAGAGGAATAAATGTGGGAAGGCTATTTTAATTGGAGCTTCAATAATAAGGGGAACAGATAAACGTCTACGTGGCCACAAATGAGACTCCAGGATGGTACAATCCCAACCAGGTGCTCAGCTAAAGGATATCTTGTTACAGTTAAAGGACATTCTGGAGTGGGAGGGTCAACAGCCATGATTGTCATACACTTCCCTTCTTATCATCCTTAATGCCCTGTGCGCACTCCAATGTTCTGCCTAAGTGTCCTGCTGTGGGGCTCCTGACCATCCCCAGTGTGGATTTACTCTCCCTGTCCTCCTGTGGGGCTCTTTACTGTCCCTGGTGAGGATTCACTTTATCAATTGTCCACTACACATGGCACAATTCCTTTTTCTCCCTTAGTTCTTTTAGTACTACAACTTGCAGCCAGGACTGATGACTGGGTTTGTAAAGGGTGGTGATGTTAAACATACTCACTTGATTAGGACCCTTATAGTCGGTTGCAGACCAATGTGTATCCTGCTCACAGTGCCAATTGTTGGAGAGGGATTTTAAAGAGGAGTCATGAGTCCTATATTCTGCAACACGAGTCGATCTTTATTTGGAGCTCCTTACCAACACAGCATGAGCAAGGTCTCTGGTGACAGACTCCAAGATGCTGCTCCTCTCCCAATAAAGTACAGGATATTGACACATTCTGCGTCACAATGATTACGTGCAATGTTGACATCTGCGCTTGCCCCTTCCCTTCTGACACACATCCAGACCTGTGACTACATTGTCAATGATGGAGAACTCTATGAACAAACCTAGATCTTCCCATGATCTCCTGATTCCCATGATGTTTACCAAACATCCTTATTACCTATCCTTGGGCTTTTACAATGCATCTTACATCTGCACCCATTATTCAATTATCCTTGCTATCAAGCATATTCTGTGTACTTTCGTTTGCAGTTCCCCATCTGTCTTGCGCTCTACCATGATGTCCAGGAATGGGAGCTGTTTGTTCTTCTCCTCTTCTCTGGTGAATTTTATTCCGGTGAGCCCGGTGAGCGTGTTATTTATAAAAGTTTGTGTGTCTCCTCTAATTTGGTCCGTTCAATGATTGACAGTACTCAATCCTCCCTCCTAGCAGGATGGGGGTTTCTCCCTACTCTCTAAGGTTGCCCGTCAAAGGAATTTAGTTAAACCCCTGATGTTAGTTTGTTGGCTGCGTTTATAATTTCAACATATTATTGTGGGATCAGAATCTTCTCTTCTACAAACTTTCAACTAGCTGGTGAAAGGGCTTCTCTCAAGGTTTTTCCAGAGTGCTTCTTATCAAAACTAGTCTCTGTGTCCAAAGCTGGTTGTCTACAGAAATCTAATTAAATTCTCGATGTTTAACAAACTAAAACTGAAATTACTCCTATTTATTGTGTATGTATGTGCGTACACGTGTATGCACAATAATTACCTAAATATCTTCATTAATTATGGGTCTAAGACTAATACTTAGCCCCATAGTCTCCCTACAAGGCACGCCATTACACAGATTAGCCAAGGAACTACAAAGGATACTCAGGCACCGAGTCAACAAGTCACCCTGCTCAATCCACTCAGCCCAAGAATTCCTCGACTCCATCAAAGACATAAGGATAGACAACGAAGAGACCATGATATCATTTGATGTCACTGCCCTATTTACTTCAATAGACATACCACTAGCAAGGGAAACAATGACAACACTACTAGAGCAACAGCAAGACCCCAGTGAAACCATTTCCATGGACAACATGCTCAAACTATTGGACCTATGCCTCACCACCCATTTCACTTTCAACGGCCAAATCAACGGGACACCCATGGGATCACCTATCTCCAGACTTATAGCAGAGGCAGTGATGCAAAGACTAGAAAGGACGGCCCTTTGCAAATCCAACCAAAACTATGGATACGCTACGTGGACGACACCTTTGTCATCATTAAATGGACCAAATTAAAGGAGACACACAAACTTTTATAAACAACATGTTCACCAGAATAAAATTCACCAGAGGAGGAGAAGAACAAACAGCTCCCATTCCTGGACGTCATGGTAGAGCGCAAGACAAATGGGGAACTGCAAACGAAAGTACACAGAAAAGCCACACACAGGACCAGGTACTCAACAGTAACCATGCCAGCGCACACAAATGAAGCTGCGTGCGAACACTATTTAAACGGGCAACAACACACTGCAGCAACATAGAACTATGCCAAGAGGAAGAAGAATACCTCTTCCAGGTTTTCAAGGATAAC